ATATTATAAATTTATCTTTTATTTATTTAAACATTTCTTCTCTTAATTCAGATATTCTCAAATCTCGAGAAATTTGATAAGAAATTATGAGTTTTCTTTTGATATTTAAAATTCTTAAAATTGGAATATTAGGCATAAATTAGTAATCTAAATATGATAAAGAAAATTCAATATCTCAATTTATTCTAGATTTTTTTAGAAATAAATCGAAAAAATATATATAATAGAAATCAAAATAAAGAATATATAAAAAAAAATCTTTTTTGAAAATTTCGATGCCTGAATGTAGAGCGACTATATTTTATGAATTCTGTATCTAAAATCCAATAGATGAATTAAAATTCATCAAATTTTTTAGATTCTCAAATTTGGAGTGGAAATCGAAAAGAATGAATGTGGAGAATTGAGAATATAAGATATAATCTAAAAAAGATTTATATATATATATATTATTTCTTATCTTAATTATATTTATATTAATCATATATTTTAGATTTCTTCAGATGATTTCTAATTATTTCTAGATCTTTTGATTTTCATGAAATTTCTCTAGGGAATTCTCGAATTTTTCCGAATTAAATAATTTTATTTATGAAATCTTTCTAGAATTTGGGGGAATATTTAGATTCTAAATTCTTAAATTATTTTAGAGATTATCGAATATATCTTGATTTATAATTTTTTCATAGCGTTATCTAATGCCGACTAGATACCATATCCATGAGTCGAAATCTGGAAATGCAAGTTGTGGGCGAGGCCGTATGGGATCTCGGGAGCGTCGTGGAGCGGCGAGCGAAGGCGTGACGAAGATATTATGAGAATCTGGGCGAAGGCGGAGTGGCATGTGAGGGCGAATGACGGGCGAATTCGTGGGTTTGTTAGGGAATATCAAATAATGGGAGAGCATTTGAAAAATCATGAGAAATGTTGTGAAGCGATGGGCAAGGGTGTTTGTGTTGTTTGGAGTGTCGTGGAGTGGCGGGCGAGGGCGTGTGGGTCGGGAGTAGTGGGCGAGGGTGGATCGAGGGGAATGTCGTGGAGTGGTAGGCGAGTATTGTGGGGAATTTTCATGGAATGGTGGGGGAGGGCGAAGAGTGGCGGCAGAGATGTGGAGGATGGATGGGTATGTCGAATGTAGGGATGATAGGCGGATAGGATGGGAGGGGAGTGTAGTAGAAGAAATGAGGAATTGGGGAGAAGAGGTGGAGAGAGTGGCGGGTCGAGGGGCATGTCGTGGAGAGGTGGCGAGCGCATTTATAATATGGGGAATATTGCGGACTGGTGAATGAGATTAGATCGAGGGGCATGTCGCGGCATGGTGGGTGGGGGGGCGTAAGTGTCGTGGGTATGAAGTCTTGGAAAATTCATGCGGGTCGTTGCTAGTGCCATATGAATTTGAAGGAGTGTCGCGAGAGGGCCGTCGTGGAGTGATGAGAGATGATTTATTCCGGTCGTCGAGAATATCGTGGAATATGGATGAAGAGAATATAAAGCTATATGAAAATAAGGCAGTATGATCTTTATAATAAGGATTTGTGATACTAGATTAGGGTCGATGATTCTCAGAAAGCCTTATATCGTGAAATAGTGAATAAATTAGGAATGATGGTAGAAGGAGATTCGGGGGAGTATCGTGAAGGGAAGGATGAAAGAATATTTTATGAGAGGGTGCGAATAATATTTTAAAGGAATGATGGTTGAGCGGAAGCTCGCGAGAAGGGAGAGAGCGAGTCAAAGAGATAGAGAATTATAATATGAATAGCATATATTATTAATGAAGAAATAGATTTTATGAATAAGGGGTTTTGCTCATATATTCTTAAAATTTTTTCAAAAAGAAATTCATTAAATATTGTTTTTTCTGAAAATTGACGATAATTCGATAAATTAATAATTCTCATATTGTCGAAAAATAAATAATAAATAAAAAGAAATTATGATTATATATAATTATATTATTTCATCTAAATCTATAAATATTTTTAAAGACCTTATATTTTTTATTTGAATATATATAGATCTCTATATTTAATAAATATGAGCTCTTTTCAATGTGAGTTGACGTTATCAACCTCTGCAGCGTTTAGGGTGCGCGCAACTTCCGTAGAGTCAATTGTCCCTTACGCGCGGGCCCTAGAATTTGCTCTTAAGTTTTAAGCCTTCCGCGCGCCCTTCCATATTTCAGATATATATGTATATACGCCCACCCCTTCCATAAGATACCCTTGCACACACCCCTTCCGCACATCGGTTTTAAAAGCTCCCAGTCCGCAAGCCTTCCGCGCATGCGATTATAGCTTCTGCGCGCTTCCGTGCCTAGTCGTTCATGCCGGCCCTGGTCTAGCTATCTCTTCGATTATATTCAATAAAAATCATGAATAAAATATGAAAAATAATAATTGAATTTAATTAATTAGAAGAATAAATAAGATTTAATTCTAATTATATAAATATTTTTTCAAATATTATTTTTAATAATGAAGATATCAAAATATAAAAATTATTTTTTTTCAGAAATATTTATAGATAAATCTCTCGAATATAATATATAATATATATTTAAGAAAATATTAATTTATGGAATTATATAATTCTGATCAATTATTATATTTCATTATATTTAGAACTTTCTTGTCGGAAAATAAATAAAAATTTAATCGAATTCTAATATTATTTTATAAATTAAGATATAAGATATGATTGTCCGAAAATTGTCATTGCCATTACTATTGTTACTATTTGACTCTTGGCGGGAATATAGGATATCCCGCTACCTGCTTGCGGGCTCGAGCCCCGCGTCAGTGCCATGAAATGACGCCCACAAATGTTCCGGTTCCAGTTGTCCAAGTCCGGATGGTCATTATTCAAGGAATAAATATAATCTTGAATCTATCTTGTTCTCTCAATATCTCTCCATATTTTATTGTTTCTAGCTATAATTCTCTGTGGGACGAATAAAATCGGAGAAATGATTTTTATTGAAAAAAATCCAAAATCTAAGTTTCTTGCAGCAAACATACGGCCACCTTCAGGTTCAGTGGCCTTTGCACTGCGGTGAAACGCATGGGTCTGGGACTGCGGCCTCTCCCGTCTTCCGCATTCTTCTTTCAGCGAAAGCCTTGTTGCTGCTAGCTTTACCAGCTGTTGACAGGCCCTTTCTGATGTTGCATTGAAATTTTTGCGGTAAGCCCGCTACGGCGAGTCGAGAGACAATGATAATGACCCTCACCCCTTGACACTGCACGAACACATTCTTCAAACGCATGAAGACTTTCCCCGACACTGCTATGCCATGCCATCGAGAAGCAAAATAACAATACGCGACAAAGCTAGTGACAACTTACAGAATCATAACACTCTTGGCAGTCGAGATCATTATGAGGATGTATCCGCTTCCGTCGGTGCATGCGTGAAGAGAGCCCCAGTGTGGTGATACTCGTCACAGCAGCTTAGGACAGGAGCATGTCAGGCATAGTTGCAAAGAGGCAGCTGAGAATGATCGAGACATCTGTGTGAGCGCGACACGAGTATGCACGAGGTGCTCGAAAATGGCAAGAGAGTCCGAAGCTCCTCCTAGATTTGCTTTGCTTTCTGCTCTGGTCGTCTCACTGTTGTGGAATCACTCAAGGTGGAGACTTCTTGGTGATGTACGCTTCTGAAGGCCACACACAAGCTTTGCACAAACGGGCTTGACCCAAACCTCCCAAGTGACCTTCTCGTGCCAAAATGAACTGCCAGCAGGGACTCGGGAAGGGATCTACCGACCAACAGGCTGCGGAGCATCGAGCCCTGAGACTTCCGATTGATATGACCAGCTGCTCAAACCAGGATTCCAGGCCGCAGTCCCTGAGCCCTAAATCCACCGTGTCAGCAATTCCACAAGGCTCAGTACGAGATCGTCGTTCTCGCATTGCGGGCCGACCTCGCAACTGAGATCAGAGAACACGTCTTGTACGTAATGCCATCTACCAATCATGTTCAGTACTTAGTATGACTACTTTCAACGAAGTCTATGAGAAAGCACAACACTAAGCACCTTTACAATGATAACAACTAGGTTGTCCATGCATGTGCGTGCATGTGTGTGTATATATATATATATATATATGGTAGCCCCCCCCCCTGGACCAACCTCCGCCATGAAACGGATC